ATGGTTTTACATACAAAGTGGGCATACCAAATGTGAGCAAAGTGTTAACAGTCTGTTGGAGAGAAAAGTGGAAAAATGTTTATTGTGTGGCATACTTTATGGTAGCTCTACACCAACCCAACTATTTTTCATGCATATAATATACTTTGTATTCTGATATCGCAACTATTAGTGCACTAAGTGCAATTTAGTTCGGTATAGTCCGCATTCACTATTGTTGTATGTAGCTTCTTTAACCCCTTTCTTTTGTTTTTTTGTTGTGTCCTTAATGGCATTTAAGTAAATGTTCAAATTGGAGTTAAAATCTTCATTTACATTTTAATGGACGCTGTTATAGTGCATTGGCTTTGTTTTCTTTATTACTCGGTTGTTTGCTTGGCCACTGCGGAAGTGGGTCCTTAAAAGTAAACTACTTTGATCCTTTTGGCAGATATGCATACATATGTATGGAGTAGTTGGTGCATATGTAGTCCAAGCGAATGAGGGCGCTTCTCAGCAGAGCCATAAACATAACAAGATTTTGTTTTTATTGTTGTAAGTTTTTATTGTTGTGCGTTGCCTATTTCTCACTTTGTGACACGTCCTTTTTAATAGTGGTTGCTTATTTACTTGAAGGATCATAATAACATTATCATATCTCAGTATCGCTTGCTGGACGAGCGTAATATTTCAACGAAAAAAAAAAACATTAAAAATTCGCAAAAAATTTACTTCGATGAAAAAAAGTCTACTAAAAATATAGTTAATATTTTTTTCGGCAGAAAAACAGTTTAATCTATCAACAAAGGGGAGCTCGAAGCTTTTAGTCGACTGTTTTGCAATTACTTATGTGATCCCCTCAAAAAATGGCTTTCCTCAAAGTCTTAACTAGACATTTGTTTCAGTGATAAGCTCTACGTTAGACCCAAAATTCTTACCGGGCTGGGTTTCTTTCAGGTTATTTTGAAAAAATGTTTTCGGAATCACCGAGTAATTCTACATAGAAATTGGATAGTGGCGTTTGAAGAACAAAAACCGAACTAAAATTTGTGATCCAGTGTATTTTGTTAATAAAATAATGAAATTCTATTTTTCGTAAATTGATTCGTTAGTTTTTTATACAATTGATTCTATGTATATTTTAAATTAAGTAAAATGTGAAGCATTTTTTAAGAGAGCTTTAGTTTTTAAAATATGTACCACAGTGCCGGAATTTCCAATTTATTTCTCATTTTGGTTTTATTTAAATTTATTTGGGAAGATATTCTTTCAGTATTTGCTTTGGCTACTGGAATGCAAACCATTTTTTTTTTTCAGAAGGAAAATGCTTACCTTTTTGTCTAAAAATTTTTTACTTATCCAGTCAAATCTGAAATTTAAAATTTTTACTATTTACAGGCCTATTCTGCGTTGGTAACAAAAATGTTGTTACCCGTAAATAAAGTTCCTGGTAATTTTTAAACCCCTTTCGCATTTTGCACACTGATAAATTTTGTTACCATCTCATAAACAGGTAACAAAATATTGCCCCGTGAAGTATGCAACACAAGAATTTAAACAAATCTTCATAGCTGAATTGCTGAATAGATTGAATTGTTACCAAGGTACTTAGAATTGCGGTTACAAGAAGTCGTGTTATTTTTTGGTAACAAAATTTTTCGGTGTTAAAATGTTCGGTAACATGCAGAACAGGCCTCTAAAAATGTAATTTAACAAAAACTGCGAGCTTGTCTAAAAACTGTAATTTACAGTTAAAACTATGAATATGGCAACACTACTTGACATGTAACCCAAAATTTAATCGCAATGCGATTAATCCCTGTTAAAAAATTAAATCTTAATCTTATCCTGTGGCTACTGTTTCGTATAGCCCTATATACGGCTATTTAACGATTAACAGATGTGATGAGATGAAAATACCAGAAGAAAAATTTACTCTAGAAAGTGATTGGTTTAACGTCGAAACCGTTTTCCATAGTTTTCTTCAAGTTTTCGAAGACCGAAATGTGCGAAAATTCCATTTTGATGTAACAATACTTGCTCACCTTTAACACTGCAAGCTCAGCTAATCTAAAAGCAAAATTCATTAAACGATTTTAGCTTCCTAGACTTTATAAAAAAAAAAATTGTTAACTTAATTTTTTTAACTCTCTTATATAGCGTGTAATCATTTTTAAACTTCCATGCAGTCAGTACTGTAAGTCCAACCAGCTCTGTAGTTGAAGTGAAAAACTAATTTTTCTAGCTTGCTCAGCGACAGCGCTGGCAAAGAAGGTGTGGCAACTCGTCATAGTCACGCTGCCACATTCGCCTTTAATTAATTCATTTAAATGAAGACTTCTGCTACATTAACTAAGCACTATGTAATGGCAACATTAAGACAACATCAGCGCAAACGTTGTTGTAGAATAAAAAAAAAAGTATGCCAGTCACAGAAGTGCAATTTATTACTGGCAATCTGTTAATAAGTGTTTGTGTGTCTATTTTGTGTCATCTGCAGCCGTCATGCAGCTAGTACTGAGACTTTCACATCTCTTTTGATTTGTGTCTTCAATAAAATTTAAACATTGTAGTTTTATAGTTTTTTTTTATGTTGTTCTTTACTTTTTATTCTTAAGCTCTACTTGGTCAATTGTTTGTGCAATTAATAAAATGAGTTTGAATCTTTAGTCTGTACTCATTTGTCTGATTGCCTGCATGATTGCGCATAGTTTATTTGTTTGTGCCTACTTGTCTGTTACGTATGTACCTCTTTTCTTCTTTTTCACTTCAATCTGTCTGACGGGTCATTCATTTAGACAAATAAGGAAGATTTATTTAAAGCCTCACTTGAACTCGCCATTAATTTTATGATTAGTTGGCTGCACCGACAAATAAAAAATAAAAACTATCGCAGGAAATAAGTTGCTTAATCGGCATAAAATAACAAACTAAAGCAAAAATAAATCAAAAAAAAATTTATTTAGTTAATAGCTTTACTTAAGTAACAGCGCTTATTTTTGTGTGTTTATTTAAAGTTCTTGTGTGTTGATTAAAGGAAAGTTTTTTTTTCAAACTCCAAAAATTTATTGTCGGATTGGATTCCGATTCTCGACGCACATTTTTCATTTATACATACAAATTATGCAAAGTTCTAAAAGTCAATTACACATGTAAATATGTATGTATGCACGTGTCTTAGGCTTAATTTCTCTGGCGTTTTTCCCAAATAACCTCTGCCTATTTATTTAGGTATGTGTGTTTTTAACCCTTTGTTGACCTTTTGCCCAATATTGCAACTAATGTCACGCTGTTTTCAATTATAGAGCCCCATAACCAAATATATATATATATATATATATGTATGTACATACTGCGGTGTTTGTTTTTACTTTGATACATTTACATAATTGTAAACTCAAATAACTAAATTATTTTAAAGCGTAGATGTGAGTGTTTTCGTATCTCTTTACGAAATATTACAGGTTCAAAACTGAAGATATTTTAGTCAATTTAGGACCATGTCTAGCTTAGAATGATTATTTGTTACGAGTTTTCTTTGTTTGAGATTGGATAGGACAAATGCAAGCAAATTGGTTATAAAAAAATATTAAGGGATCACTTAAGCCACAGTATGTAGCGTGCCAAGTAAATTATAACGATTACTTAGCATGAAATTGTATACCGAAAGCGTAAAGGACTACCTCGCCTTTGCTTGCCTTGCTACAGCTTTTTAATGGAAAATTCTTATTTAAAACTCCAAATTTTTGACTTTCATATAAAGAGCTTAGGCGCAAAAAGTCGCGCGTTTTCCCCCGGAATTATAAAATTTATTATATTTGAAAATTTCCCTAAAGATATTTCGAAAAAGTATTAAGATTTACTTGAGCTATACCGATTTGGAGGGTTTTACCTCCAAAAATCTCATTCTTTTGAACACGTTGTAAAATTTTTTACTTTTTTTTTATCCAGACCTTTTAAGCGTAAACTCTTTTACCATCTGAGGTTAATTTAAAAAAAAAAAATTAAAAACTTATTTATTTTTGTTTAAAACTCAATTTTTGGAGGGGTCCAGCTCACGTACTTAAATATTAAATTTTTTTCCGAACTATTTTGACGGAAGTCTTTAAATATAATATTTTTTATAATTTCCGTGGAAAACACGAAACTTTTTTGGAGAAGCACTACTTGTACCTGGGCAATCATACAGTATATGTACGGTAGCCATATTTATGAGGGCCGAATACGGGGAAAAAAATAATTTTGCAAATTTTTTCCACAACAGCCTTTTTCAATAATCCTAGATGTATTAGCCTTGAAGAAAATTACTATCATATGCCAACATCACTTAAAAACCAGTTCATAGGCATGCCATTTTAATGAGCTGTTCAGGCATCGAAACACCGAATACGGGACAAATACAGGACATTAAAAGAAATACATTAAAAGAATACAGAACATTTGGCGTCCCGTATAAAATAAATAAATTACCAGGACAATAGGTCAAAAAAGGGGACTGTTCCGTATAATACAGGATGAATGGCCACCGTAAGTATATGCGCTGTGCTTTCCTCCGATAGCCCACAACAGTGTTCAGGGGAGAGACAGACCGAATGGTCAAACTTTTTAGATACCCACTATTCCTTGACTCAAGCAAAAAAGCTCTTCGAAGTTCGAAATCTTTAGGAATGCCTGTGTAAATTTGAATTTCCGCCGGAAGTGTATACCGCTTTTGTGGGTGAAAAAATTAGCGCCAAAATCAATCTTCATTTTCCTAGAAGTGCTACATTGCGCCATCAGCCTTCGCGTATCAGCGCGTTTAGGAAATATTTAATCAAGTAACGAACTTTGCAAGACACCAAAATCTTTGGAAATGATAATTATGAGAAGTTAAACGTTGAACTGGAGTAGTATTTATTACTCCCCTTGTTTATCGAGTTCATCCGAGCGTTAAAAACTTTAAATTGCATGCATTTCATTTCATTTTCCGAACCTGTGCCATTTTGCTTATAATATTTTCTCTTGTTCTCACTTTCTTACAGCTACCGATGGATCAAGAACGGCAAGAAATTCGATTGGCAAGCTTACGACAATCGCATGCTGCAGCAGCCCGGTCGAGGTACGCTCGTAATCACGTCACCCAAGGACGAGGATATGGGTCAGTATCAGTGTTTCGCTGAAAACGAATTCGGTACAGCCACATCGAACTCTGTGTTTGTGCGTAAAGCCGAACTGAATGCATTCAAAGATGAGGTAGCGAAAACGATTGAAACAAACGAAGGTGAACCGTTCTCACTGAGTTGTGAAGCACCGGATGGTTGGCCCAAGCCCATTGTGAACTGGCTGATACAACATTCATTGGATGGCACCATTAAATCGATAAACGATTCGCGCATGACACTCGATCCCGAAGGCACACTCTGGTTCTCGAATGTAACACGTGGAGATGCCTCTGACGATTTCTTCTATGCCTGTTCGGCTACCTCGGTATTCCGTAATGAATACAAAATCGGCAATAAGGTACTATTGGATGTGAAACAGACCGGCATCAGCGCCGCACAGAACAAACAACCACCAAAGAGGCAATACGTGACGCGCAAGAACGAAGTGGCGTTACGTGGTAAACGCGTTGAGCTTTATTGTATTTTTGGTGGCACCCCGCTGCCGCAAACGGTGTGGTCCAAGAATGGCGCACCCATACAGTGGAGTGATAGAGTAACGCAGGGTCATTACGGTAAATCGCTGGTCTTCAGGCAGGCAAGTTTCGACGATGAGGGCACCTACACGTGCGACGTTTCTAACGGTGTTGGCAATGCACAATCATACTCCATCAATTTGAAAATTTGGGCCACACCATATTTCACCAAAGAACCAGAGATCCAGAATGCCGCCGAAGATGAATCAGTCGAATTTGAGTGTGCGGCTGCTGGTAATCCCGAGCCCACTATTCAATGGATTCACAATGGCAAACCGATTGCACAAGCAGCACCCAATCCACGCCGTACAGTGCAGAGTAATCGCATTATCATACGCGATCTCGTCAAGGCCGATACCGGCAATTATGGCTGTAACGCTACCAACTCGCTTGGCTATGTCTACAAGGATGTGTACCTAAATGTGTTGGCACTGCCACCAGAGATCCAGGAAGCGCCGCGTAAGGAAGCAACAGTCGATGGCAAGAACGTTACATTGCGTTGTCGCGTCTTTGGTGCACCCAAGCCACAAGTCAAATGGATACACAACCATCAGGAGTTGACCGGTGGACGTTACAACACACTACCCTCGGGAGATTTGGAGATCCAAGAAGTTGCATTCAGCGATGAGGGCGACTACACTTGCTTTGCCACTAACAAATTCGGCAGCAAATCGGCGAATGGATCGTTGACAGTCATGAAGCGCACAAGCATCATTCACGAGCCACAGAATTATGAGGTTGCCGCTGGAAAATCGGCGACATTCCGTTGTAATGAGGAGCATGACGAAAAACTAGATCTGGAGATTGAATGGTGGAAAGACGGCCAACCCATTGATTTCGAATCAGAGGCACGTTTTGTTAAGACCAATGACAATTCGCTGACCATACCCAAGACTGTTGAATTGGATTCGGGCGAGTACACTTGTGTAGCGCGCACACAGTTGGACGAAGCTTCAGCTAAAGCCAATCTCATAGTACAGGACGTTCCAAACGCGCCACGCCTAGTCGGTATCGTATGCATGGCTAATAGGATAAAAGTCACCTGGGAGCCACAGGGTGACAATCGTTCTCCAATTCTATACTACACCCTCGAATTCAATACTTCCTTCACGCCCGACTCTTGGGATATCTCGTATGAGAAAGTTCCCTCCACCGAGGTTGCATTTGTCGTTGATTTAACACCCTGGGCTAACTACACCTTCCGTGTGAAAGCCATCAACAAAATCGGACCGTCGCCGCCATCTGAGAACAGTGAAGTATGCACAACGCCAGCAGATGTGCCCTACAAGAACCCGGACAATGTTCAAGGCATGGGAACTGAGCCCAATAACTTGGTTATATCATGGACGCCAATGCCAGAAATTGATCACAATGCACCGGACTTCCATTACCGCCTCTCGTGGAAACGCGATATACCTGCAGCCTCCTGGGAGAGTAGAGACATCTACGATTGGCGGCAGAGTAATATGGTAATACCAGATCAGCCAACCTATGTACCATACCTGATCAAAGTAGTGGCTATAAATCAAAAAGGTGAAGCAAATGTGGCGCCCACAGAAGTAGTAGGCTATTCAGGCGAAGATCGTAAGTATCAATTTCACCAAATGCTTGTATAAGCAATGACATTTTTTAAATAAAATGTTTTTTTTTTTGTTTTATTGAAGGTCCCTTGGAAGCTCCCACTAACTTCAGCATGGTTCAAGTCACAGCCGCTACCACAGCTATGCTGCGCTGGAATCACGTCAGCCCCGAATCAGTACGTGGTCGCTTCAAGGGCTACAAAATCCAAACTTGGACCGAGAAGGAGGGTGAGGAAGCGCTGCGCGAAATACACGTTGATGCGATTTCCGATCAGGCGCTCGTGACACAATTCAAACCCGACTCGAAGAACTTTGCGCGTGTGCTCGCCTACAATGGACGCTTTAATGGCCCACCAAGTGTGGTCATCGATTTCGATACACCGGAAGGTGTGCCATCACCAGTACAATCATTGGATGCCTACCCGCTGGGTTCATCTGCCTTCTGGTTGACATGGAAGAAACCATTGCAGCCAAATGGTAAATTGACCGGCTGCAAAATCTACTACGAAGAAGTGAAGGGAAGCTATGTAAGCGAGCGACGTGAACTCGAACCGCACATTACCGATCCACGACAGACGAGCACCAAAATGGCTGGTTTGCACCCAAATACTAAGTATAGAATTTCCATAACAGCGACAACAAAAATGGGCGAGGGATCAGAGTGAGTTTGATGAGAAATTGTTGAATACCCTACGAATATTATGTATGAAATTTATGTTTGTAGGCACTTTATTGAGAAACGTACATTACCAGAGGACTCACAGAAGCCAGCCGTACCTGCATTCGCTTGGGAGCAATTGCCATCCGATAATGGTTTTGCTAAATATCGCATAAACTGGCATCCCAGCACCGAAGGGCATGCGGGCACACACTTCTACACACAATACAGGTGCGTAAGGAAATAAATTTATAACTAAAGAATATACTTTGTGCTAGAAACTATTTCAGAAACTACTTAAATCAAATAAAGAGAACATTTAGGTTAAAATGTTGTGCTTTTCAAAACCATACCATGTTACAAACAGCACGATTTAAATATATTAGAGTTAATTAAAATTTGCATAAATTTCATCTTTATTTTCCCCACACAGAATCAAAGGTGAGCCCAACTTCGTTAAAGTGGATCCGGAATTTACCAGAGACTTCCAAGAGATCGCTGGTCTTGACCCCGACAATGTTTACGAATTCCGCGTGGTCGCAGTTGATGGACTCCACGAAACACCCAGTGAACTAAGAGAAATCGTTGTTGAAGGACCTACTAAAGTGCCCAATCAGAATGTGGCAAATGCTGGCTGGTTCATTGGCATGATGTTGGCTTTGGCTTTCATTATTATACTTTTCATTATTATTTGCATAATACGACGCAATCGTGGTGGCAAATATGATGTACATGATCGTGAATTGGCGAACGGCCGTCGTGACTATCCGGACGAAGGTGGATTCCATGAATACTCACAGCCGTAAGTTTGAACGAATATTTAGGAAAATTATTGATGTCATATTTATATATTTTATTTTTTATTTGCAGTTTGGATAACAAGAGCGCTGGTCGCCAATCGGTTAGTTCGGCGAACAAGCCAGGTGTGGAAAGTGATACCGATTCCATGGCTGAATATGGTGATGGTGATACAGGTGAGTCGAAATAAAATAACGATGTAATTGGTTGGAAAATCGCCGCGAGAACAACTTTGTCGCGATATGGCTGTAGAAACGTGTCAAGCTTCCAAAAATATGCATATGTGTGTTTGTAAATCTGTATACGTTTATATGTGCGTGCACAAAAAATCGTGTTCTCGACCAGCTATCAACTTTTTTGCATTAAATTCAATTCACTCTTTTATTTCCTATTATTTTATACATTTATGGGACAATTCCAGCCCTATTGGGACACCATTTGGCTTTTGCATCTCTGATTTTTTTTCTTATTAATTTTCATCCGTTTTCGAGATATCGATATTTCGAAACCGTATTCTTATACAGCTTCAAAATTTTTAGTATAAAATATTGATTGCCAAAAAACACGTACTGGTCGATTATTTTGAAATTTTTTTCAAAAAACTGCCACTCATTCCACAACTTTTAAGCCTAGTCCGATAATGGGATAGCAATGCGATATATTTTTTTCGAATTTTCAAATTAATGGAAAACTAACAAATTTTGTCCAACAAAGCTCGGACGCCTCTCAATTGTTACTATATACAACATAAAAAAAAAATTTTTTAAAATCGGCGATACAAAAGTCGAATGGTGTTCGAATTGGGCTGGAATGCCCCTTTTTACACATTTAATATGTATGTATGTACCCATGTATTTATGTATTTATTATTTTCTTCAATTTGTATAAAATGCGTGTGATTTTGAAAATGAGCACAGCGGCTGTTGTATTAAGAGGCGTTGCAAATAATTTACCCACGGTGCCTGAATTCCGAGATGATGCTGCCAACGCAGCAGCACACATACTTAAACACTAGCCATGACACTCTTTTGCAAATTACAAATTTATAGTAAATTCGTTTGAAAAAATGCTAAGGTAAAAAAAAAAATACATTACAATTGCGATTTTTGGGTTAACTAACGCATGAATGAAAATTTTCGGTATTCCGTGTTTATTAACTCATAAATTTCACCTATAAATATTTTATTTACATACATACCATGCGTTTATGGTGAACTTTTTGTTTAAATTGATGGCGAAATAAATTTTTAATAAAACATTAATATTTTCTCTAATTATTTGGCATTTGTTTCTAACATATTTTTGATAGTTAAAAGTTTTTCGGCAAACTAATAAATTTCGCATTATCCTGCTTAAAATTAAAACTAAAATTCCATATATTAGATTGGACAAAAACTTAACATGCAAAAAGACTATCTTCAAACTGCCTAAAAATTTTAAATGAAAAATGTAACTGGGTACTTTTCGTTTATTTTTTTTACCGACTTCCAAAACAGGAGAAGGTTATCAATTCGTCGGAATATTTCTATTTTTTTTTTTTTTGTTTTATGTATGTTACCGCATAACTTTGGACCACGTTAACCGATTTCGATGATTCTTTTTCTAACGGAAAGGTAGTGTCTCACAGGTGGTCACTTACTAATTTGGTTTAGATCCAATCATTTGATCATGAAAAAATTTACGATACTCCTAAATTTTTATATGAGAATTGAAGTCGTTTTTGTTTTTTGCTTAAAAATTACTTGTTTTTTATTAGATACTACATAGTAAGTTATTTTTACTGTATTTTACAAATTCATCAACTATAAATTCCAGAACATAAATAAATCATAGTGCGTTTGATATACATACATATCAGTGTTGGCAAAATGTTAATCTGATTAACGATTACAAATTAACGATTAAAATGTTAATCGCGATTAACGATTAAAATTAATTAATCGTAATCATCCGTACGATTAATGATTACATTTTATTAATCGTTAATCGTCGGTTGTGATTACGATTAATTAATTTTAATCATTAGTCGTTAATCCAATTAAAAAAAATCTGATTGAGTGCTCTGGTTTGTCCGAATTTGAAACCAAACACGGGTTATAGTTTTTTTTTTGTGTTTCACGCTTATAAAAAACGCATAATATATAAAAAAAATAATTATTATTATTATTAGTAATACATAAATTGGGAATTTTTATAACCCATCGCACATGTGCAGAGGGATATTAAAACCTAGTTTGCTTAGCGTCTGCTAAAATAGATCTTAATGAAAATGCACACCAAATTGCTTAGATTTATGAGGAAAACCGACTTGGCCATATCCAATTAACTGGCCTTGTGTGCACAGTAAAATTCCAGCATAAATTAATTAATCACAAAATCTACTTAATCAAATTAAGGGTTAATGATTAAAAATTAATTTTTTAATCGCGGTTACGATTAACTGTTTAATCAGATTAAAATTAATCATGATTAACTGTATTCGGATTGAATTTAATCGAGTTAACTAATTGATTAAAAAATCAATCGATTAGTGCCAACAGTGATACATATGCATATAAATTTCTTAAACAATTTATTTATTCATTTTATATTTGATCGAGGAAACGGGAAATGTACTGATTGCATGCTTGTTTCAGAAACTTAAAAATTCTATCAGTTTTAGATTTTTCAGGCAGTTATTCAGTCATGCATCATGAGCAAAAATATGTGATAACGCCGTGCGATAGTCAATTTTACACACAAAAAAATCAATTTGTTGGCGTAACTAAAGACTAAAAATAGAAATCCTGGCATCAGATTTTTTTTAAGAACTTTGAAATTTCAAAACTTCAAAAAATTATTTAAAAATTTAGTGCAATGTAGACTAACAAGATGGGTATCAAACAACAAAGGAAATTCTGAAGAATTAAACATGATACAATTTTTTCGTGCGTAAAGACTAATAGGTGTTGAAAATATGCTTTTAAAATTTTGTCCTTGAATTTCCTTGAAAATTTGCGATATTATTTTTGAAAAATATATATATTTAACACTAATAATATACACACGATCTCATTCTAGAATTTCGTACTTCTAACTAAACAGGGAATTTCCAATCCCTATTCGTCCTTGTGAACCAAAAATCTTTATTTTTTTTTTTAATTCTACTGAATATTCTCTTTCATTTCTACATTGCTCTGAGTGTTTTTTTCGTTTTGAATAAAAAGTAGTGAAAAATTCACGTTTGTTATTTTAACTTTTTTTAATACTTTATTAATTTCTTCCACTGTTTTGATTTAGTAGTGCTCTTTCCGCCGTAGCCGTGGGCTTAAATGTCCCTACTGCCACTAACGAGGCCCTGTTAATTTCTGCCCCAAAGATCAAAAAACTTGAAAACTTCGAAAAACTGAAACTTTATTGAGAGGTCAAGATTTGTATGAAACGAAAAAACCGGTTTGTTTGATAAAAAAAAATCCGTTTGAGACCGGTTTGGCCTTTACATTTACATTCCTTTGGTCTAAGGAATTCTGAAGAAAAGTAGCCTACTTTGGACCCTTTTTATCAAATTACACAAAAAATCTGCTTATGTTTTCATTCAATAGAGTAGACACGGTGGCTGCTTAAACACAAGAAAGGATTAAATTTAACCAACAAAAGCGTACTTTTGACTTTAATTTTACTATTTAATACTGTAAGTGTAGGGTACTATCTCCTTAATGCCAATGATAGGAAACCCCGTCGGGAAGACTGTTTTAGAGGCCGTTTAAATAATTCGAGGACATTTCACTCCTTGCCACTTTTATCGCAAGAAGGAAGATGCAATCATCAATTTACTCGTAAATTTTCAAAACAACCAAATCCAAAATTTATTGTTCAATTTACCTTATGAATGTGTGCGTTATGCGACACATTTTGAGAAAATGTCCATCATATTTTTCTTGCGCTCATTTTTCCTTATTTTTGGTGTTTTTTAAAGTCGTGTACATCATCATATTTAATCATGCCGGTTCAAATAAAAATTAAGACTTAATTATGTTAATTATGAATGAATTCGTGAAGAAAAGCAGCCAGCACTGGGCAATTAAATATTTCAGTTGGAAGGAATTTCAATAAATAATTATCAATTTGTAATAAACATACTATCCAAAATTGGGCTAAGGGGTTAGTTTTAATTATTTTGAAATGGTTTTATGTTATTGGTATCAGGCTAAGTCGCCTTTTCCATTCATTCATTTCCATTCATAAATCTTTTTTCGTTTTAAATTATTTACCAAGTAAATTTGTATATATTTATACATTTTCATCGCATTGGAGTAATTAGTACCAGTAATGGCCAGTGGTTACTTTTGTAATATAAATTCATTTATTATAAAAAAAAAATTGTTCGCAGCTCATTTTCATCATCAAATGCAAATAAATGAAAATAAAAGAAATTCGAAACTGAAAATTATTGGCCACAAAAATAGTTAATAATAGGACAAAAAAAAAAAAATGCATAAAAATAATAAATTCGATATCATGGCGAAGAACCGATTAAAGCCATTAATTGGGGTAACGCTTCGCAGCTGCATATCACATTTCAATCGATATTAAAATGTACACATTGGCATAAACTATTCGTATTTTTTTTTTTGCGTCGTTGAAGCATTGCGTTTACATATTTACACCATTTGTGATTGTTTGTTGCTTTTTACGCTCTCTTCACCTCAATAACAGCAAAAAACAAAGCATTTGCACTATTATTTTTTAATATTGTTTTTACATGAAAATTGTTATTTGACCCCATTTCTTGTTTTGGTTACTAGTTACATACGTACGTACATAATTTTAGTGTTCGCACTTGTTCGTTTTTTGTATTTTAAATAATATATAATATAATTATTAATTTGTATGTAAATTAAATTTTTTGGTAATTTCGTTTTCTGTTTATTAAATATTTTGTTGTTATTATACTTTTCTTTTTAATTTGACCAACACACCAATCACCAACAACAAAATAGGTTTAAATGAAGATGGCTCATTTATTGGTCAATATGGACGTAAAGGACTTTGATTGCAATCACAGTTCTAATTTTTACATCTTTCCTGTTATCGTATCCGTCAACACAAGCCACTTGAGAAAGAGCATCAGCATTCACGACAACTACACGAACAACAACAATAAACTAACTACACCTTTTCTTGACTACTGCCAAATAGCATCCAGCCATTAGCGAAAAAAATAAGAAAGTTGTAAAAGAACTCAACGATGCAGCTCAGAAAAAATAAATTAACGTACAAAACTGTTAAGGCAGCTATTTTGTATTATATTAATTAATCCACGTGAATTGCAAAATCGAAAAAGTTATTTAATTTTATGGCAAGCTATATGTTTTAATCCCATCCACACGCCTGCACATTGAATCCAATCAAACACAAACACACTTGCGATCGCGCAAGCCCAGCTAGAATGCGGCGCAAGCACCGATTGACAAGCTGTGTGCATACGCGTGCAGATAAATATTTAAAGCTCTCTTTGTATTTTTTTTTTAAATAAGTGTAGTTTAAAATGTGTTTTATAAAAGAAAAGAAACTGTAAAATTTTATGTTTATGATTGCTTTTATACAGTACGTACAATATTATAATTTATTTTTTATTATTATTTTTTTTATTGTAACTATTCTTAAAATGTATTGCACTTTTAATAATGACTTCTTATGTGTGTTTATTTTATTTTTTTTATTTACTTTTTACTTTTTGTGTTTAGTATTTAGTAACCCTTGCATAACTGTATACTACTCTCATTTATTTTTTACTCTCTTTTTTATTTTATTTTATATGCTTAAATATAGTGTTTTTAATGGATAATTTTTAGCAATAATGTTAAAGTAAAAGAAAAAAATTCAAAAACAATCGAATCGTTTCTTAATAATAATGTAAATTAAAACTATCAACAACAAGTAAGAAGAGAAACAAAAAAACATAGTATACATGTAAAGCTAAGCTATTTGTGTACCTACCATTTTCGTATAAAAGATAAAACAAACACTTAATATGAAAATGAATTTAAAAAGAATTAATTAAAAGCGAAAATGTTCTACACAAAATAAAAATAAACAAAAACAAAAATGTTTTAATACTCTGTGGGAACTGAAGAAAGTTGACTAATAAAAGCTTAAACAGACGGCAGCGTTGATCCGGATTAACTCGAACTTAATCCGGATCAACTGCAGTTAATTCCCGAGCTGATCCGGATCAACGCTACCGTCTGTTTATGCTTTTAGGCAGCGTCTGATGGTTGGCTATACAAAATACAAGAGCATGAGAGGGATTTAGATGCTAACATTTTTCTTTGAATTTTTCGCATCCGTTAAACACCCATTTTGTAGGTGAAGTGTCGCATTTCTACCAGGCACTCAAGTAATAGCGAGAAATGTATTTTCTCTAATATTAAATTTCCAGCGCCTAAAAATATGCTACATTTCGAGACAGATTTTTTAACCCCCCTCAGCGGTCTGACCAGGGCAAAAAAATTAAATTTTCGCATTTCTACCAGAGGCGCACAGAACTCTTTCGCATCCTATCTAAGTTCTAAGTTCTTTTTACATCTACAGAAAATCTATTTTAGATTTTTTCTCGCATTTTTACTCGGCGCCGAGCAAGATGAAGCAAGCGATGGCGCAAAACGGTTGGCCAGGACGAAAGCATACAATTTTTCTATTTCAACCAGGTGCCCACAACTCATGAGAAAGCTTCGGCGGATTAATTTTTTTTTTGAGTATTTCACATGATGTGCCTGAAAGTAAGCTAAAAATTGGAACCTGGTGTCTATGTTCGCAAAAAAAAATTTACCACGTATCCAGCAAAAAGAGCAAAAGGCGGCGAAAAAATGTTCTCCCCATATTTACACAATTTCAGCCTGAAAAGGTGCTACATTTCTTAACAAGATTTGTTACATTTGTCAAACGAAACGATCGCAGAATAAATTACGTTTTTGGTAAAATTTTCGCGAAAGAAGCGCGGCATAACTTAGACCCCCTAATGTATATTTTGGTAATTTTGTTTACGATTATTTCATTAAATTTTTTTATTTCAAATGTAGTTTCATTTTAGTTAACTAAACTGTCTCATAACAAATGTGTTCATCGATCGCCGAACGAGTTTTAGGCAATCCTCAGATTTTTCTTTGCTGAATTCGAATTTAAATAAAAAATAAAAATTTGCACTTAGTAATTTCTAACCTAAATTAACCGTACGTTTTTTGGAGGTTATTTAGAAAGCAAATAAATTTTGTGGTACTGCGTTATTAAGGCATTGTCAATTAAGTTTTTTATTTTAGCTACAGTAATCTTTTCTTCGTTTTAATGACGTCGACAAACATATTTACATACATGAATGAGGTAAGAGTATGTAGAGAATTGTATGCTTTTTAGAGTAGAGTGTAGAATAGAACATTTGCCTGGCATGATTTTAAGCAAATTTAAAAATGTAACCCATATTCCTTGTTATAGTTACTTTTTAACTTTTCTATTTTATTATTTATTTTTATTCATAATTTGTTTTTTTTTTGTTTTAGTTAACACCTACTTATGTTTTATTTAGATAATTCGGTGCTGGAGATTAAAAAAAAATAACGTAGATAATATGTTTATCATAAGCTGCAGCAAAAAATAAAAATAAATTATATGGATTTTGCCACTGTTACATCAGAACTCTTGCGAAATAAATACTTATTAAACTACACTATATTTATATAGATCTGCGTTATTAATAAATGAAATTCTGTTATTAACAAAACAAATCGCGGTCTTGGTCAGCTTGGTCTCACTGGTCAATATCTAACACCACACAACCACATAATTTCAAGTTTTTCATTAACACCCTATTGCAATATAAAGCCCCCCACACAATTGTTTCCATTTACTAATCACCTTATTACTCTCTCTCTCTCTCTATCTCCCTAATTTTGCAGCTCAATTCACCGAGGATGGTTCCTTCATAGGTCAATATGTGCCCGGTAAACTACAGCCGCCGGTTAGTCCTCAGCCCATCAACAATACACCAGCAGCGCATCAATCGCCAACAGCGCCGCCAGCGCCAACGCAAGGTACCACCACTTCGAATACAGCCGCTGTGGCCACCTATGTTTAGGTGATAGCAACTGCTAGTGAACAACAACAACAATAACAACGGCAGCCTGACAATTAAAACACGAAATGTTAGCTGCAGAATTGCAGAAGGTGTAAAGGAGAAGTGAAGTAAATAATTGATGCACGACGAGGCTAAACAAGGCGTGGAGGCAAAGTGTAATTTGTAGCGATTTCAATTAGATTTTATTGTAATGATGAGCGAGCCGTAAATACCTACATATGTAAGTACATACAATGGTAGGGGACAAGCGAAAAGAAAGTGAAATCATTGATGAATTCACTTGAATTTGTAGTAAGAATGGCAGTGCAGTTAGAGAGTTTGTATTTTAAAAATCGAAAAGTTATCGGTGTTTAGCGATGCATAAATAATTGGAAAGAGAAAAAAATTAAAAGGCAAACCCAATTAGCAAGAGTACGTTGCTGCAAATGAAGCAAGCAAATAAGAAAATTATTTAAATTATGAAACTCAAAAGCCGCTTATGCTAAATTGAAACAAATTTTTATAGTATGTATTTAAGAAAAACAAAATAACACTTATGAATTTGACGAATTTGAATTTAATTTTGCTTTGCTTAAGTGACAGAAGAGGAGCGGGGTAAGATTGTGATCGTAGTGCTGCATGCATTGACTTTTCTTAGATAAGGGTCACACAAATCGGCTAGCTCGAAGCTTGAAAGCATACATATAAGCGAAACCTGAAGGCATGAATTAAATAAGTTGCAAAAGTTTCGGATTATATTCTTATTAAGAGATAACATTTTTTCCACAAACATGAATAAGTTAATAGTGATAACAAATATTTTTTCTAAATATGAAAACTGGTTTACCAAGTATATCTACTGGTGCGCCACCTATCGGCAAATTTTTTAGTGAAGTCATTCCTTTTCATCTAGTTAATATACCTTCCAGATATGAACCAAATCGGGCTATAAATACGGGTTTTTCAAATATCTCGACTCCTGCGCCACCTATCGGATTAACTCATCTTTCAAATTGCATTGTCATCGGGTTCTGAACTGTGAAGTTTCTCAAGTCTCTAGGTCATCGGGAAGTTAGTCAAAAATTGGTTGCCAAATTTGTCCCTAACAAACATTTATACATACAGAGCAATTTAAATAAAAGCTTGTAAAAAAGTGGACTTGGCACCTTTCACCTTTAGGTAGCGATGAAATGCGAAAAATTCTTCGTTAGCTGTAATATGAGCTTCTCCTCCGATTTCTGGTGTGCGCCTTGATGCCTGCCTTGACACCACAAAGGGGAGGACCTACAGTTTTACGCCGACGCCGAACGGTGGTTGTATTTTTATGAGAAGCTATTTTTCATGAAAGAAGTACACTTGGAGGTTTGCTATTGCCTGCCGAGGGGCGAACGCTATTAGACAACTACTTTTTAATTTAATTTATTTATTTTTTTTTATGTTGGTCGGAAACTGGGCTTGAACACAGGCCCTGCGGAATGGCCGTTGATAAAATATAGAAGGGTCCCTACTGTTGCGTAGAGATTTTAATAAGTTTAAAAAAATTGGTTTTAATATACGGCTCTAACGATGATATTTACATTAGGCTGAGTTGATTTTGTCTGAAGCAAAAAAAAATATTTGATAATGGTTAAGGTTGCTTTTGCTCATTTGTTGTAATTTATTAAATGATTTTTATGCCGATATTTCATATTCAATCTGAAGACATCTTCAACCACTTTTGGATATGTCCGCTCGACCAATGTTTATTGAAAAATGTAAAATTTTAAAGTGGCTATGTGAATTGGGCTTCCAGATTTATTCTCTAACGAAACAACCAAACCGTTATCATTAACCCTAAATATGTAACAAAAATGTATATTATCGGATCATTCCACGAACTTTTACATTAATAGTGGATGTATAATATTTTGCTGATTTTTAATTAACCTCATGAAACATCTTTTCACTATTAGACATTATTTAAGGAAAATGCAATCTTCGACCCACCCTAATGTACCTACATATCAATACGCTCGATAAGACCCCATTGGCAGATTTTTCATTTTATCTCATTGTTAATTCCACTGTTGTAGTTTAACAATAAATTCCAGATTTTTCTAAACACTGATGATTTATTTTTGCCCGAATTCTAGTCTCTCGCGGTTCTATCTGTGACAGGTTTCAATGTATCTGATCGCAGAATGACTTCTGCGTTAAAGCATTCAAAAATTTGTTTTCCCTAGTGTTTAGAGGTGGGTACTACAACTCTGAAGGACCGTGGTGAGATTCTTAGTCCGCCCAACATCAAACTTTTTTTCGTATAGCGTTCGGCCCTCAGCAGGCAATGGAGAACCTCTAAGTTTAGTGTCGGGCGTTTTTACATTAATCTTTTTGTTTTAAACTTATTCCCGAAAGTATACTCCATTTTTTTTGGCAAGAAAAAGTTAATTTTTTTTTTTAAGGAGTTTTCTAATAACCCGACAGCCCGCGTAAAAGGATCACGTGTATTTAAAATCATGTTTTAAGTAGTATAAAACGAAGGGAATGAAATAATCGAATGATTTCATGAATTTTTTTCACAAAAATATATTCCAACAAAATGACTACATAACAACTTCGCACAAAAATATGCCGCGGAAAATATTTATATTTAATAATATATATTAATGAAAGCACGATTTAAATTATTTATCTGCGCATTTTTAGCTATTTGATAGCATGTTTTTGAGATAACACAGAGCCGAAACCGGTTTGTCCGCAAACCAAATTTGACAAGAGATGACGGAAAATCGTTCCAGAATACATAATACTCCTACGCTGTCGGAAACAACAACAACTAAAATGAGAAAATTATATTGCCTTGTTAACGTTAATTAAAAAAAAATAAAAATTAGAATGCATGCAGCGCTACTTGCATCAAATATCCGCTTTCAAAGCTGTAAATGCAAATGCAACGTGAGCCTTTTTTTCTAAAAACAAAATGAAAATACATATAAACAAAATACAATGAACCTATACCAAGCTAAATAAAATGTACTATTATTAAATGTATTTGTAGCTTCATTAAGCTGATGATTGTGTTAAGTTGTTGTTATAAAAAAGAGCAGCTAAAGAGTGAAATAAAGACGAATAAATGAAATCAGTTTAATTAATTGCTAGTGCAAAATATTATTACAAAAATGCATACATTTTGTAAAATGTACGAAAAATTAAAAGAGCCAATTTACTTTGCAATTAACTTAAAACAAAAAAAATTAGAATCCCATTGAGCTGCAAAAAATATTTAAATTTATTTGGCGAGCCTTATGCGTTGAGCTTACAAAAAACTAAAAAAATAAAATAAAAACTAAAAACTAATGTACATTTGTTTAATTATTACCTACTAATTTTTGCAAGCCTTTTAAATGTAATGTAAACAAGTACGTAAGTGTGTGTGTGAATTATTATAATAGTACATGCAAAACAAACGAATCTCAATGTGTGTATGCAAAATAAGAAACAAATAATAATGAAAATAACAAAAATTATAAAAAAAATATACAAGAGTCCAATTTTATAATTTTTTTTTTTTATTAATTCTTACCAACTTAACTAAATGTTTTCACATCCGACTAAACAAAAAAGAAAAAAAAGAAACATTTTTAACCAGAAAAAATGCAAATAATTGCAACCGCTTATTGTGAATATCATTTGTGCTGCCAGTGTTTGCTTAAAACTTTAAACATATTACAACAACAAAGTAGTAACTGCATACACCCATATTCGTAGTTGTATGTAAAAAAATGTATGTACAACAACTTTTTTATATATGTACGTATGTATGTAAAATAAATTAAACAAATTTTTACACATCGCAGGTTAGAAATACATAAATAATTATATGAAAAATATCGAATTGCTGTTCCCAAGTAAATAAATTTAGTTTAATATTAGTTGTATAGCATTTTTTTTGCTTAATTTGAATTTTAATACAACAGAATCAAATAGCAGAAAACGCGTGAATGCGTAACTTAATAATATATATATACATATATAGTTCACAAATATGTAAGTAGTTTTTTAAAAGCTTGAAGGCACATGTAATAAAAATAAGTAACAACAATAATTAAGAAAATATTAAGTTATGAAAACATCAGTTTTAAGCGTTCGTTTTTATTTTATCCATGATATGCGCCCAAAAATATGCACTAAAATGAGCTGTAGCTGAATATCGGAATTCACTATCGCCATCGTAAATTAGGTACCAGGGTGACCGAGCTTTGCTTGGATTGCAGGGACCGTTAACGGTTATGATCTTTCTAATAAAAAGCATTAGTTAAGCGCTAAAATTTTAATTCTATATTTCCGAACAAATTTAACCGTTTTCAAGAATTATCGTTAAATTTCGATTTGCATTTTTTCGGTTAAATTAAACCGTTGTTTTGTGATTTTTAAAATACTTGCTGATTTTTAAAATAGTTTTCCTTTGGAACCCATAATATGGTGTTTTATTTAAAAGCGGACTCATTTCACTCGATTGCGGATGGCCCTGATCCAGATCTTCAAATTCTGGTAAACAACTCATTGATCATGGGGACACAGGCACACAATGCATATGTACCAAACAGTCAAATTTGATGTCTTGAGTGAAGAGGACTTTCTGCGAAAAACGTGAAAACATTTTTTCTACTTTTAAATCACTCACAAACTAAATAGTTCCATAAAAGTTCAACAGTTGGCCTGATTTTTCTTTTCTAACCTTAAATAATTCACTATTTGTGTACATTTGTGGTACAAATAGGTTTTTTGAGGTTGGGAAAATTAAATCGAACAAAATTTTACGCCCTTTTATTTGGAAAAAAATGCCTAGCATCGTCAACAAAAAAAAAAAAATTATTAAAAAATCAACGCGATTTGTCCTTCTAAAATTTAATGGGCTATAAAACTGAATACATAAAATTCTGAATGAAAATATTGAATTTTTTAGATGTAAATTGGTAGTTTGTTGAATTTTTATATTTTTTGTACAAATATTGAAATGTATAAGGCGCTGGTTATATAATGTGCTAGACCATTATAAAAAA